GAAATGGTTAGTGTAATAAGAATGAATGTTATGTTATGATGCATGATGTTATGTTTAAACAGAGTAAATCACACACAAGCAAAACACACAAAATACCTTAGGTTCAAAGGCTTGCATGAGGTTAAAGGTGAGTACCCTCTTGAAGTTTAGTTGGTTTCAAACCTGTCTTAGAAAAGTAACCGGGTTCTAAGGATTCTCAATATCACTGATCATCCTTTATCGAGCATTGTTTCAACTCAGGGAATCTTTTCTTGCGGCCAAAATATCCCGAAAGTCTGATCTCAATGAGTGTAACATCGAGTATCAACCAATCCTCAGCTTTATACCAAGGCCGACTATCTCACTACTTTATAATGGCCAAGTTTGTTCAACTAAGGTTCTAAGGTCCGTTAGTGCTTCACGACACCACGTGGAGGCCCCGTATTCTCCTCGTTTCCACACGAAGGATACCGATATCGACCAAAGTGTCACACCAACACAACCATTGCTTAAACCATATCGGTCTACACCGTACAGTCTCCATGATCTATCGCTGTTTACCTAAAAAGTTCCCCCCAGATCCGGGTGTAGGATCTTCAACAACACCCAAGCAAAATACCCTTAAGGATAAAGCAGACAAAACAAACAAGAAATAAATTTTAAAAATGTACTAGATCCTAAGGTATACCCCACTTTATTTTTTTCCCTACAGAGTCGCCAGTTCCGTGATACGGTGGCAGAACCGACTGTTATACTGGTTTGCGTTTTTTATTCGCAAATGTCGCGGTAAGCAAGAGTCGCCATCGACTTTTATTTCATCCAACAAAGGAAAAGGAAAAAGAATAGAAAAAACCTTTTTCGAGATGTTTCTGAGTACCGGGGGTAGATTATAGAAAGGGAAGGTGTTATCACCCTTTCTATCCATGGTTTTCCATGGGCTCTTAGGTATTTGCTCATTTTTTTTGAAATTGCTTTCGTGTTTGTGTGAATTTTTTTTTTGAAATTGCCTTAGTGCGGCGATTCATTTCATGGTAACCCTTGTATCAGTCCTCAAAGGTGTGATAAAATGTTTTTGAAAACTTTGTTTAAAAAGCTTGTTTGAAAGTGTATGTGTAAAAAAAATTGTTTTGAGCAAGTACCTAAAAGTTTCTACCTACTCGAAAAAAAGTCTGTTTGTTTTCTTATTTCCTTTAGACAATGTTATCCTACTATTAAGGAGTAGGTATCTCCATCGTTGGAGTTTAAGGGACAATCGAAAGGGACGAAAGGGAAAATTACGATCACTAAAGCAATGGTTTGGAAACCTTAGTAATTACCCTAGAGTCCTAAAGATCTTTCCGAGACAACATTCGAATGGGTCATTTTTGATCTTTTAGGACTAGAGAACAACCACTAAGACTCCATATACTTCATGATCGTTTACCGAAGGCAACCGAAGTGGGGCAAACTCTAGGAGTGAGCATGTGCAAGTGTTTATTTTCCAGTCAATTTAGTCTTTGCATATTTAGGGTTTTCTACCATTTTAAAATTATGAATTTATCTTTCGCATACAACCCTATTATCAATCATCTAACAGTTTATAATAACGAGAAATAAAATGCGAGAAATTTAAACCTAGCTATTACATAATCAAAAACCGGAGGAAAATAGTAAAGGCAAATATCAAACCTAAGTTAAACTATTACAAACTTGGAGCAATTACATTAATCAAAAAAATAATGCAATAAATACGTGCGATAAAATTAAATACGGAATTAAAATTAAATTCAACGACATTTAATTCAGTAAATAGAGAAAAGTATTTTTTTGGATTTTTGAGAAAAAAGTAATTAACTTTGCAAATTAACCCAATTTCTAATTAATTTTAGTTATGAAAAAAAGAATTTAAGTTATCCTAATTAACCTAATTAATTAATGCAATTAAATATTTTATATAAAAAAAAACCTAATTCTATTTTTTGTGTTTTTATAATTTTTTTTGGATTTAATTAAAAAAGATATGATTTTTTTTTGTAGAATAATTAAAACTAAAAATTAAATAAGGAAATTAAAAAAGAAATAAAATGGGCCTGGTGAAATGGTAACCCTGGGAGGTGCAAGTTGAAATCCATGTTGGGCCCAGGATAGCTGGCCCAAGGCTGCGCCTGATCCAGTGTGGTTCCTCTTCAGAGAATGCACCATGGATCTTCAATTCCAGAGCCTTGGATCTGCTTGGAGATGATCCAGAGGGTGGGATCTGAGGGCACACGGTAGACGTTTGGCCAGGAGACACACTGGATATGTAAGGAGAAAATCAGAAAATAAAATGTGTGGACCTGGGATCGAACCCAAGTCCTTCCTCTCACACGCGCTTGCTTTTACCATCTGTGCTGGGTTGTTAGTCATGCATATGTTTCAATAAATAAAATATAACATAAATCAATTATTATGCTCAGAAACGCGCACAAATTCAGATCTCCCAATGGGAGTCGGCCACCTAGTCGTCTTCCTCCCAGAACTGTCGTTGTTGATACTACACTTTTACCTACGGACAAAATTGTCACTAAAAGCTATAGTGACAGTTTTTGTCCATAGCTATAACCCCGCAACTTCTCAAAATGCAATGCAAGCAATATTAATCAGAACTAAGAACATAGATCAACCCAGAATCTTGTCCTGAGTCTATTGGTGCCCATGATCCCCTTCAATTTTCCTTGGACAGAGAAACCCCAATTTTGAGCTCATAACCCTAGCAATGACGCAGGCTTGTTCTTGCACTAGAAATCAAATCCAAGCTATCCAAAAGATCATAAACATGATTATGAATACATTTATACAAGCAAATCGAAGGTAAAACGCGTAAAACCTTGAAAACGAATTTGAATTAAAGGAGTGCAAACTGCGATGTGGATGATGTGATTCTGGAAGCTTTGATGCTGGGAAACGATTGGAAAAGCTTCTTGAGTATGCGTGGGTGATTATTGAAGGCTCAAAACTCCTTGAACTGGCATGCGGAAGAAGATAGGTCTTGCACTTTTTTTGACAAAAGTTGAGATTCGTTTGTTGCTTTGGAGGCAGGCTGCGCACGAAAATCCTTCTTCTCCAGGGTTCACAAAGCTTCTGTATAAGTAGTGAATCCAATTAGGTCAATAAAGTTAGAAAGAATCAAAAGATTGATGGTCTTGAAGTTTTGATTCAAATCTTTCCAAAATTGGAGATTTCCCCTTGTTTTTGGCTTGGCACGATTTGCTTGATCATTGACAGCATATGAGATCTATAATTCAATGCAAAACAAATCTTATTCCATAAATTTGATTTAATTTGATTTCATTTGAATTTATTTGATTTTTAAATGAATAAAAATCATAATAAATTAAATAAACAAAAATAAAAAGGCATGGAGGGTCCCATAGGTCGTGGACCATGCTAGGCCTGAGATTCAATCTTGAAAAGAATGGGCCCATGTGGAAAAATGCAATTTTGGGCATTGTTGACTTTGGGCAAATTTCCAAAAATGGACAACTTTGACAATGCATATCTCTCTCAATTTTGATCCTAAGTGGGTGTTCTTTGACTTTTTAGAAATCTTAGGATGTCTTCTAAACAACCCTTGGTTTCATTTCAATTGGATCTTCCATGTTCATGTTAGGAGTTTTGACCTAAAAGGTGTTTTTGTTGACTTTTGAAAAGGACCTATAATGTTTGAATTTATATCTTTTCATGAGTGCATTTTTTGAACTTGAGGGCCGAAGATGAGATGTAGGGAATTGAATTCTATTCAAAATGAGCCTTGGATGATAAATTTCTAATAAAGTATGAGAAAGTTATGCCTGATCAAAGTTTGGTAGACTTTTCCTATAGAAACCCTAGTTTAGCAACTTTTGAGTTTTGATGAATTAGGAGCATTTCTTGAGGAATCATGATCAACCCTTGATCAAATGATGGATATCACTTCAAAATGTTGATGTTGACAAAAAATCTTGAAGTTTGACTGTATGTGGGCCACATTTAACTTTTGACCTAACACAGTTGATTTTCAGGCATCTGAGCAGTTGATTGAGCAAACTTCTGGTGCAAGGTATGAAACTTGACATGGATGATCTTGAGGACATATTAGGGCAATGGAAATCATTTAGGACCCTTGGAACTCAAACATCTTGATGAGGAGTGAAACCCTAGTTGTGGCTCATTGTCTTAAGAGGAGGATTTGTCTGGTCAATCCTTAATCAACTTGAGCAATTGAGAACCTCTAGGAGTATGTTTTGAATAAAAATGGGAGGACAAATTTTGGGGTACAACACTCCCCTAATATACAATTTATCTACTGTAATGCGATGAAATTTTGGCTTACCCTTATGTTCAATGTTCAAATTATACACTTAGGAGCAAAACAAAAGAATCTTTTCATTAGAGAAAAAATTAAAAAAAAAATATAAAAAGATAAATAAAAATTCGCTCACATTACACGGATAAAATATATTTAACCCAAAATTTTATGTGTTTGTTGAATATTGCATAAATTTTTTAATGAAATGCAAACTATCAACATAGTAAATTTGAATGATGATTAATAATGGACATGAGGGCTCATATCTTACGAGTCCCTTTCCTATAATTCAAATCCAACAACATAGACTTATAAAATAAATCTGGAGTATAATAATTAAAATAAAACAAATCTTCATTCCTTTTTGAAGCTACAGATCAGTAGCTTTAAGATGCAAATTTCTTTTGGCCTCATATTTTTTTATTGAAGGATGTTTATCATATAAAAGACCAAAACAAAAACTTAAATAAAGTTAAAGATTTAAGTTAAAGATTCAATAATAATAATAATATCTCACATAAAATATTTAAAGTTAAAAATTAACAAAATAAGTTAAATAAACAAACCTAATTATTTAAAAAAAATTAAACTGTTAGTTGTCGTGACCTATTATTATATATACGGATGACTTGATCGAATTCACAAAACTTCTTTTTCCTTTCCTTACATTCCATTCATATTCTGCCAAAAATCTCAGAGTAAAAAAGAAAAAAAGATGGTTCTTTCTCAAAAGCTTCACGAAGCTTTCAAAGGCACTGTAGAGAGAATCACCGGCCCAAGAACCGTTTCCGCCTTCAAAGAGAAAGGAGTTCTTAGCGTCTCTGAATTCATCATCGCCGGTGATAATCTCGTCGCTAAATGCCCCACTTGGTCATGGTAATTTTCAATTTCCCCCTTTTCTCAATTAGGGTTCATCGTTCTTTTCTTCTTATTGGGGTTTTTTATTTTAATTTAAAAAATTCTAATTGGGTATTTGGTATTTGAGTCATGAGAATATTATAGAAACTGTTTTTGATTCATGTGGTAATGTTTTCCTCTTTGAATGATAGGGAATCAGGTGAGCCAAACAAGAGGAAGCCGTATTTACCATCTGACAAACAATTCTTGATTACTAGAAACGGTAAGATTATGAATTCGAGAGTGCTTTTTTTTTTTTTTACATTATTGTGAGTGTTCTTTGTTTTTGTTTTGTTTATTCTTTGTGATAATTGTATTAGGAATTTGCATTCACCTTAATTACGTCCCCCTTTACTCTTATTACATAATAATTGGGGAAGTTTTTTTTTTTTTTTGGTTGTTGGAACTTGAAAACACCTACTTGAGCCCATCTAGAGGCAGAGCAAAGTTGAGCCTATTTAGTCTGCCCTTACCCGGTGAGCCCGCGGAGCCCAACTTACCTAAACTTTATTATATAAAAAAAGTTGAGCTCATTTAAAGCCCGAGCAAAGTTATGTAAGACTGGGCCAACCCATTCTTAGCACCTCGCAAGATTCAACCTTAAGACTTTGAGAGGAGTACACTCTCAGGACTCAAACGTTCACCAACGGGCCAAACCCTCGGGATGGTTGTCCTTTTGAAGGCATAATGTTCGGTTGGTTACACTCACAGGACCCAAACATTCACCAACGGGCCAACCCCTCGGGATGGCTGTCCTTTTGAATGCATAATGTTTGGTTGGTTGCTTAGATCGAAACTTAAGGCTCTTTGCCCTTCCTCAAAAGTGTGCTTTATAGGGATTTAACTGCAGTCCTCCCCATTCAAACTGAACAACACATGTTGTAATAATGTGTTTGTAATTGAGGTAATGTTAAATGTCTTTAGGGCTTATGTGTTATGTAAGCATATAGCTCAAGGGAGGTTAAGGCATATGCAATTTCCTAGATTTTGTATTTGTGCATTTGTTATAGTGTTTTAAGACCTTTCCTATTTAATGACTGATTTTCGAAGTTGTTTTGTACACAACAGTCCCTTGTCTGCGGAGAGCTGCGTCTATTGAAGAAGAATATGAAGCTGCCGGAGGGGAAGTTCTACTTGATGATGAAGATAATGACGGATGGCTAGCTACTCATGGAAAACCTAAAGGTATTTTTATTCAATTGAACTGGAGGCCTGAATGTAATATATTGTGCTGCAAATTAAGTCCTTTGATCTATATACCCTTGTAATTTGATTTTTCAGAAATTAAATCTGACGAAGATGAGAATTTACCTTCCATGGAAAGTCTAGAAATCAGCGAAAAGAGTTCTACTAAGCCAGTTTCTTCCTTCAAGGAAGATGAGGATGATGAAGATATTCCTGATATGGCAGAGTTTACAGAATATGACAATATTATTGAGACAGATCCGGTAAGTTGATACTACATATGCATATTAAGAAGCACAATCGCTGATTTCTAACGGTACCACAGAAATTGTCAAAGTAAAACTTTCAATTTTATTGAATGTGTTGTCTTTGTATGTTTTGAATTTGAGTAATAGACTCCATTTGGTCAAAACTAGCGGATGACAAATATGCTAGTTTATAGATAATAGAGGATAAAATAGCTGATTGAATTTGATGTGTTAAGTAAAATTAATGGTTGAAATAAAACATAAACATAAAAGGACAAAAAATGTATTTTTAATTAATATTTAAAATTTTCAATTAGGATAATGAAAGTAAAAAAGAGAGAAAATATGAAATGTTAAAAGCTACATGAATTGAAATAGCATCTCCAAAAATGCTACAACCACAGTGAGGGAAAACCATTACCTGATAACTCTGCTTTTGTATTATCAACCTTCTGAATTGAAGTAGCTGCTTCATATTAGCGTCATTTGAGAAGCATTTGAAATTTAGGAGCAATCGGAATAATCTTCATGTGTATGATAAAGGGAAAACCCTAATTTCTAACCTTTTTCCAGTTGTTTATTACTATATGGTACTCCATCCGTCCCATATTATAAGAGAAATTTACTTTTTAGATTCATTAAATAATTAATGTATTTGGTCTATATATAGATCAGATAAATTAATTATTCAATGAATCTAAAAAGTGAATTTCTCTTATAATATGGGACGGATGGAGTATGCTTTTTCCCTCTCCCTTGTCCTTTTAGAAGGATATATATAGGGATCAGATCAGTTGACACCATGGTGTCAAATTAAATATTGACACTTATGATAATTTTTTATTGCATATATCATGTCTATAAAATTTGACGTAATCTCACATGATTTGATATATTAATGAGATACATCAAAATTAAATTGGTAAAAATTTTTAAGACGTTAACTTTGGACGAGGTTTGACATAATCACATATCGAATGATTTTTAGATTAATGTCAAATTTTATAGACATCAAATTTTATAATAACTCTTAACCTTTCTAATGCCCGAAATCATTTCTCCAAATTTTAGTTGGCCTCGTGCTGTGAAATACCCATAATAACTGATTCTGCGAACACAATCTTCTGGTTTGTTTGTTAACTTGGCAATTTTGAACTTAAGCTTGTGTATCTTGATTTAGTATCACATGTTAACAGTGTTTATTCTCAACTCCTTATTCACAGATTCACACTTATAAGTATGATGGTCGATATTTCATTTGAATTTGAGCCCTAATTTAATTAGCATTTCACTTTATGCACGATGTTTAGATCATACTTTTAGATTGTTGCTTTTTGTTGACTCTAATTTGAGTAATGTGATTCATTTCATTTACTTTTCATTTTGCTTGTTGGCGGCCACTCTTCAGTCCACATATCTAGTAGCTCATGAACCTGATGATGATAATATTCTTCGCACCCGCACCTATGACATCAGCATCTCGTAAGATGAACTTCTGTATATATTTAAACACAAACCTACTTTGTTTCATAATCAATTATTTCTTTGGCAATGAATTTAAAAGACGGACCTTGCTTTTTATGCAGGTATGATAAGTATTATCAAACACCTCGTGTGTGGCTTACTGGATATGATGAGGTTTGTTTTTTCACTTGATCCTTTAAAACATAATTAGCCATTTGAGGTATCTAGCAGTAGAAATATCGTATCTGTAACATATGTATTATTATTCCTATTTTGATATTTTGAGACTATATACCTTGGAAAGCGCTAGTGTACTGACTGGTTCAGTGATTTCATCTCTTGTCTTGTGGCAGTCAAGAATGCTATTGCAACCAGAACTTGTCCTTGAAGACGTTAGTCAAGACCATGCACGCAAAACGGTGAGATATGGCACATCAGTTGATTATCAACATGCAATACACACACACTTAGAGTTTGCTACAATTTTTGTCAAAACAGTTTTCTAACGTAAAATGTTCCAGGTAACAATTGAGGACCACCCTCACTTGCCTGGAAAACATGCATCTATTCATCCTTGTCGACATGGAGCAGTGATGAAGAAAATCATTGATGTGTTGATGTCACGTGGAGTTGAACCTGAAGTTGACAAGTAAAACCCTTTGTTTCTAATATACAAGTGATCCATTCAATATTACATAAATGAGGTATATAATTACTTAAACTTGTTTCTGCAGGTATCTGTTTTTATTCTTGAAATTTATGGCTTCTGTTATTCCAACAATCGAGTATGATTACACAATGGACTTCGATCTCGGTAGCTCCAGCAATTGATTAAGGTAATTGGGATTCTGAGCTGAACTGAATGGGAATTCATATCGTGATGCATCTTCTCTTGTTACCACTATGAGCTGAACTAAACTTGTGATGTTAAGATTCTATTGATGATTTATACTTGTTTTTCTTCTTTACAGAAGGTAGCTGCACGTTCAAGTATAACACGAGCATAATCTCTCTTACCAAATCTTTCTTTGTTTTCGCGCCACATTAAAACTGCTTGTAAAGTTTGGTCTTTTGAGTTTGGACAAATTTCCTTTTGAGATTTGTACATATTTGACATACCACATTCTTAAGACTATGGTGCTCCTTGCAATATAAATATATTGTTTTCTAGAATCCGAATATTTAAAAAACGTTTTAGACTTTTATAATTTAGAGAATATTTTTTAAGCTGTTGGTTATTTCAACTTCACCTCAACATACATAACAGATTCAATTAGCATCAATCACATTTATTCTTTACTTCACCTTGACAACATTCACCTGCCTTACATATTTTCTTACCTGTTTTTTTAAAATAATATAAAAAATGTGACTTGAAAAGAAACTAAGGGTAATTCCCATAAATAAATGAACTAGCCTAATCCATCTTACAGCAAATTAATCAATAAGTAATTAGAAAATGAAGAATCAACCCCTATGCTGCTTTCTTGTTTTTTCTCTGTTCCTTTATAAATGATTGAGACTCAAATATGACTCAAATATAAGTATTTTGGCTTAATTGTAATTTTAATCATCTTATTTTTCATTTTTTGAGTTTTAGTTCCTTTATTTTAGAACTTTAGAGCACAACATTTATCTTGTGGATTTGTAACCGGAGCTTTTATGATCATTTTCATTATCTTCTGCGATTTAGCAAGCTTTGTGCAGCATATGAAATTAAGCACATTGTGAATCAATGATTTCATTATAATCATTATTAACATGATTGAAGACTCATTTTAATAACAATTGTTGTTATAGTGGTTGATAGTTTTTTGGTTGTGTTCTAATAATGACAACTTTCATTTTAATATTGAACACCAACAACATTTTAAACATACGATACTTTTATTATATAGCCAAGTAAAATAGAGTCGTTGGCTATTTGAAAAAGAGTCGTTACAAATAGTACTGCTTCGTCATTTTCTCTTCCACAATTCAAGCTAGTGGAGAGGTAGTGGAATAAGGCTTTTTCGTACCGTGTACTATTGTATCATGTTAACGTTATATTCTTTCCTCCTGCACTTTAGAGGCTTCTGTGAGCATGCATTTAGAAGTGGGAACATAACATAAGGTATTCAGGACTTCAAGTCTTCAGAAATGCGTCTTGAGAGTCTTCAGTACTTGGTCTTGAGAACCCGTTGTAGAGAACCCGCACTTTATGGTTTGACATAAGTTAATGGATGTATCACCACCCTAGTGGTCAAAGCGCGTGCCTATCACCATGAGGTCTTGGGTTCAAGCCCCAGCGAGACCTTTCTACCTTGTCAAATCTTAGGATTAGTGTACATGATAGAAATAACTGGCTGTTTGATTGGATGTACCCCACAATGACCCACCAACTTCTCCTGAGATACCTCAAATTTATGACCCCTTTGATAACTATATCTCTGATGCAGAAACCGACCCTGAGACTCCTCCATTCTACCATAATTTTTCATCCCCAGACCATGCCAACCCTCTGGTTGCCTCTCTAATCATTACACCACCCCCAAATGAAGGCCATCTCCCTGACACAGCTTCTTGTGCCTCTGTTGCACCATTTGCAACACCTCTTGATCACATTGTTGCCATCAATGCACTCCAAACTGACATTGCTAACATTCGAGATGAGCTGACATCTTTGCATGTTGATTTCCACAAATTTATGGACATAGTGACAGAGAAACTTGATAACATCTATTAGCATCTATATCATGTTGCTCCTCATTTTGGCTCTAATAGTGGCTAATGCTTATGGATAGTATTGCATTTCTAACTCTCACACTCAAACAGTGAGGACATTGTATTGTTTTAAGTGTGGGGGAAGGAATACCTCTTAATTTAGAATTTCCATTACTTGCTTAATTTATGATTTACATTGTTTTCTTAAATTAGGATTTCCACTGTTTGGTTTTCTAGATTAGACTTACTGTTTTCTAGACTATTTTGTAATTTTCTACATTTTCTTGATACAATAGCATTTATCCGAATATTCAATTAAATTATGGCATTTTATTCATGTATGTCAATTTTATTATCTATAATTTTCCTCTGTTAACTCATTGTTGTATGTGGGAGAATGTTTAAAACACTTCTGAGTTTTCAACCTGTGGCCCTCGCCCCAGGTTCATGGCCCTCTCCATGCAAGTGTGGCCCTCGCCACAGTCTTATAACACAAACAATTTTAAGTGTTAACTCAGACCCTCGTTTTCTCTTCTTCCTTTCCATTCTTCCCATCTTCCTCCAATAACTATCACAAATTAAGACTCACTCAACCTTTCACCCTCCATAACCGTCCCACTCTTTCCCTTTTCCAACTTCCCATCAACACCCATTAATACCCACTCAATTTCAACTGCCAACCTCCATTTTCCCTTTTAATTTCGTGAAAATCCAAAAAACTCAAAGCACCTCTCCACTCACATAGACCTAAGAGAAACCATTTATTTTTAAAGCAGTGTGTTCATCTTGCCTCAACAAGCTCAACAAACAAACAGAAGGGCACGTCCATCACTAGATTTGTCAACAATTATCTTCCGCACAGAGGAAGCGGGTGAACTACAGAAAGAGAAGTATCTGAAATTTTATCAACGCTCTGTTATACCTACAAGGTATGTTGATGAATCCTGTCTGCGCGAATTAGGACTGTTTGATAGTGTTAAGTGGATGCTAGATAATTCAAGTCTAACACACCTCTGTATATTGAATCACCCTACTTATGAACCATTAACCTTGGAATTTTTGAGTTCTTTTATCTATGACACCCCTATAGTTGAACAATATTTCACCGGAACTTCCAAGTTTAGAACGTTTAACAAATAATACTCTTTGAGCCAAGACACCTTGGGAGATATGTTACATTTCCCGCACGGAGAAAATATTGCATATAGAATTCCTCTAGAAGCGGAATGGAAGACAATAGCATTTGTCCTTTGGGAAAATCTAACAGGTGAGAAAACTATTAATTGGGAAGGACTTAATGCCTCACTTATTCATAATCCAGCCATACGTTATTTTCACCGTGTTTTGGCAAGTACAATTTTCGGCAGGATAAACACCCACAAGGTGAATTCTGAGGAGTTGTTCTTTATGAATTGTGTCTTCAAGCCAAAAAGAATCAATGAAACTCCATTTTTGTTGGCACACATACAGTCCATTTGTGCAAGAGGGACTAATCCTTTTTGTATTGGGCGAATAGTCATGTCCATAACACTTGCTTTAGGCCTGAGCGACAAACTTTCAAATTTGCCATCAACGTCGGCTCTATTTCTTGATATTGACAATTTTCGATCCACACACCTGATTAAGGCCAAAGAAGATGGCAAATATAATCAGACAATTCGAAATAGGGAGGTTAAGAGTGTCATTTTGCCTTCTCGTAATCGTACTAATGTGCAGAATATGGCAAATTGGCATTATGATCTGGCTGCCCCTGAGCCCAATGCGCCTACCAAGGTGAACAAGGTGGTCAGACTGATGATGAGTTAGATGAGATGAAGCAGGGTGCACTTAAACCTGATCCACACCCACACACCATTGTTCACAGTGATTTCTGGTGAACAACCGCTAGTCTTCCAAACTATCGAATAAACTTAATTACTGTTACTCAATTTCTCTGGTAACTTGCAGGATCGACTAGATTGATCCTATGGAACATAGTTGTTTGGTTAAGTCTAATTGTAAAACTGGTATTCCTATTTAGGACTTCTAATTAAAGTGTTTCGAAGATATCCAATCCACTTCGATTTCTACACTGAATGATTCGAAGGACAATTTCTATATGATATCAGGAATGTTCTTTAGAAAAGTAAAAATACTTAAAATGGGGAAAATGGCAGGATTAAGTAAGAGAATGTAAAAGTTACTGAATATTTAGAGGATTCGAACATAAGAAAAGTGTTTAAATGCAGAAAGAAATAAATGACTTCGAATGTAAAGGCTTTAATGTAAAGGCGTAAACGTAAAATTTGTTTGAAGCACAAATGAAATGGAAGTGAAAGACAAAACTGGAAAATGTAAAGAGTTTTCATTGAATTGTAAATGTTGGTGTTATCATACGTACATCTTTCGAGCATTCGTTTCCCTATCCATGCGGTATTTTGAATGTTTACTGAATTTGTACAACAGATATGACACCCCAAATCCTAACACTAAGACCTCTATTTATACTACTTCGACCATAACAGTCTTGTTATCAGAATCTGCCACGTTCGAAGCATGCAGAGCATTACTTCCCTCTAGCCTCCACGCGTCCTCGAACGTTCCAATGCTTATGTATTTTGAATTTCCAATATCCCGCTCACATTTGAATTTCAAGCGCCTTGGTACCTTCATTTCGAATTCGTTTCGAAAACAACCCTCACAAATATAGTCTCATCATTATTTCGAACAAGGCTTTAGACTTACACTCCACAACTATCATTCGAAACCTTGAACTTTAATATTTCCATTCGAAACGAATAGTCTCTTTCATTCCGAATCATCAAACTTGCTTTATTCAAACAAAACCCAATCGTCTTATTTCGAATCATAATATCAAAATCTTCAGCCAACACTATGTTGGAATAATTTGAGAAATATTTAACAAAACGATACTGTTTTGACACCCTAAACTCCCTAATTATGCATGATCAATTTAAGTACCTATTATGTCGAGACCTTAAGTTTGAGTTTTAAAGTAGCCTGAGTAGTTTATGTTAGCAGTCAACACCATCTTAAGCGCAAACTACATAGGGAGTCGATGAATATAAGTGAATGACCCCAAAAATTCTAAACTTACATGCTTTAATATCATAAAAATAGGGAATGCA